TATACATATATAAAAAAATATATAGGTATGTACATATATGTGTATAGCTAGCAAAGAAACAGAGCCCAGATTCACACAGTACATAGTGAAATATCTTTAGCTGGGGGCCAGCAATAACAAACCCAGTGCTTTCTGCCTCAGAATCATACTTTTTTAGGCAAGAAGAGGGAAAAAGATGTTCCTCCATTTGAGGTTCCCCATTGCCCTCACATGAGCGCTTTCCAGCTGCCAAGGCTACGTGCAGGCTTTGGCCAATGACCTGTTTGCTGCAAATGAAGGGACTAAAGAGAGATGTCCTCATAGCAGGTCTGCCCGACTGAATGTAGACTTCATAGCTTGGGTCTCAGCTGCGTTTTCTCAGCTGTTCTCACATCCCTCTCTCCGTGCAATGAAAGCTGTTGTGTTCAGCAGCTGTCACCTTATCTGTGAGCTTGTTCCCTCCTCCCACCACAAGCTGCCTCCTTGGGTTCGCTGTAGGAGCAACTACAATTCATCTCTTTTCTCCTAGTTTAGCTGTCCTTTGTTGTCCTGTCTCCTTCTTGCAAGTAACCTCCCTGGTTCAGCCCCTGCCTTCTCTCCATTGACCCTGGGAGTCCTGCCAGCATGCCCAAACCACCTGCAACCCTGTGCTGCAGAGGGGTCCCATCACCATGGGCCAACACCTTTAAGGTTTCCAACCAAACCATGATGAAACAGCACATCGCCTCCTGGCTGAGCTAGCCTTGATTGCTGTCTGAGGTGAGCCAGGCTACAGAAGGAGAAGGAAAAGCATGTCCCAATGATTGCAACAGAGAGTAATTCTGGGGATATTTTCACTTACCAGAGCACTTCTGATTAGCTGTGAAGCCCTGAAATGCCTCTGAATTTTCTTCAAAACACCACATGGTCTGAGCTGTATGTCAGCATCCAAGCCAGCACTAGCCAAACCTGAGGGACTGTTCACTGAGACGGAAGAAAAAGAAGTCAGTTTTTATACGCTCCCATGTACCCGTCCATTTTCTCTCTGTTGTTGACAGCAGAATGAACAGTGGTTTTGATTCATCACTGAGACATTGTCTGCATCTACAGATAGGCTGGTACCTATCCTGCCTGCAGAGGTCTGCTCTGGAAGAGAGAGAAACCTGCTGTCAGCCTTCAGCTCATTCACAAGAGAGAGAAAGGAAGACCCAGCAATTCATGGATATTCTGGGATAAACTGTTAGTCTTGGGGAGAGGAGCAGTCTGGGGGAGAGGAGTGCTCTGCCAGGCATTCTGCAGGCTTAGAGATCCACTTGGAGATAGCAGATCTTGGGGAGCTGTGCTCCCCAAGGCACATAGCACAGCAGTGCTCGACTTGCAAATGGAAGATGAGAAAAGCTGCTCACTGACCTTTTGTTCAAACACTGAAGACACAGGCCTGACTGAAGACATTGAGGCTTTGGCTGTTGCAGAATAAAATGACAAACCCGTGGGCACAGGAGAAATTTCATCACTCCTCAGACCCACCAATGTGTATTGCTGGCTGTGAGGGGAGCAGGTGCTGCACGCGGGCTCGGCACAGCCAGCTAGGGTGTCCCGGGGACGGCATGGGTGATCAGGGTGTGAGATACAGGGTAATCAGGGAGCAGACCTGCGGGTACCACCGTACATAAAATTTTTACTCTTGAGTGTTTTCCCTTCATCCACAATGCCCTGAGTGATGTACAGCAGTTGGACTGGGCGACTCTTTCTCGCTGTCTGCTTGTTTGACAAGTTGCTGTGCTGAGTAGCCTTTCATGGAAATAAATGGCCGTTTCTCTGCGTTTTGAACATAACACCAATTCTTTTCATCCAGTGGGGCTATCTCGAGCAGCCCGGGATGCCAAGTCCTGTGGGACTCAGAGCATACCAGGATCCTTTTCATGCAGGAGTCCCCAAGACCAGTGGTGCAGAGCTGGGATCGCTTTTGAGGCCTTTCAACCATTTGCTTATTGAGAGGAGACATTGTCACCTGCAGGTAGGGACTTAAAAGAGGTCCCTGTTAGAAAGGAGTGAGCACATTCTGTCCCATGGGGCTGCCCACAAGAGGGGTCCCATGGGACTGTGTGTGGAGTTCTCCCTGCTCAGCCCTCAGCTCCCTCTCCCAACAAAATCCTGTTGCAGGGCATTGCCTCTGTATTTCACATTTGGCATCTCCCCCCTCCCTGAGTGTTTTCCCAGAAAACAGTAATCCTGGAGACTTTCAGGAGTGCAAATGGCCATCACCTGTGAGCCTGTGTTGCTATTGTAGGTGCTCTGAGCAGTGGGTTCATGATGACCTCCCAAACACCAGCATCATCATGTGCTTTGTGGATGAAGTGTGGTCCACCCTCCTCCGCTCAGTTCACAGTGTCCTTAGCAGGTCTCCTCCACACCTGATTGAAGAAGTCATTTTGGTGGACGACTTCAGCACTAAAGGTGGGTGAAGCTGCTTCTGCCCTTATGAAACTAATATAACTTGAGGCCAAAATGCAATTTGTTCTCTGTAATTCAATTCTGAATAGTAGAGAGAAATTACATTTTCTCCTTTCGATGTATTGAAGTGCATCCCCAGCCTGCACTGTTCTTTTCAGATGAGGGGTGTCAAAGGCCAGATGGGCACTGGGGGTGGCTGTGGTGGATCAAGCTGCAGCTCTTGCCCAGCACTCTGCCAGACTTCATCATTCATGTCTCTCCCATCCTAGTCCACTCACCTGAACAGCTGCTACGTTTACAGCTGTGCATCACTAGGTTTACACACATGCACTGCTTTGCACGTGTGGAGGAGACTGGTGGAAGCACTGCAGTCCAGGAGCACCATCTTCGGGGCATCCTGGGTCAAGGACTTGTGTGTTCAGAAAGATGCTGTCGACCTTCTCTGTTCACCTTCCAGATGAGTGCCCCATGTTTTCAGTGATGCACTTCCCTGGTTGCTCAGAGAATGGGATAGTTGCAATAAAAGCAGTGGTGAGACAGGCATCTGCACATGCACAGCAGCTTTGCATGCATACTCAGGCATTTCAGATTATACTGAACCTCTGCTTTGTAATGCTTTAGCTCTCTGCTGACTTAAGCCCTTGAAAATGTAGGAATAATGTAATTTTCCAGCTGCTGGTTCTTCTGTGCTTGGCATTGCTGTAATCCGCGTAGTAGCAGCAATAACCTACAGCAAACGTGTCCACAGATGTTTCACCTTTGAAGCCTCTCAAAGCTTTTAACTGGTTTTTGAAATGCAAACAGTTATATTCTCCTGGAAAAAAAACAACAGAGAGCATTTATAAAGCCCATCTATGATGGAGATAGGGGGTCCTCCCTACAGACCAAACTCTGTAAGTGGGTGGTGGCTGGCTCCAAACAAAGCGCTTTTCTCACCAACTTCCTCACACCCTCTTATTCCTGAGAGTTCACCACCAGCTGCCTCCACAGCCACAGGAAACCATGACTAAAGCTGCCTGAGAAGTAGAGATGTGTCACAGCAAATCCTTGTGCAGTTTAAACCCAGAGAAAATCTTTAAATATTGTGCTTGCTATCAAGAAATATGTAGACCATAAAAAAAAAAATAGGCAAAGGAAAAATATTTAGAACCAGATTTTAATTGCAATTATAGTGCAATGAATTAAAAAAAGAAATAATTTTTGAGTCTTTGGACAACAGCTCAATACCTGGTTTGGATCATGAACTACCCAAGTGATGCCACTGAGGTTTTCCTCATGGCCTGTCACCAAAACCCTTTGCTGCTCTCCACTGCTGCACTTGCTGCTCTCCACTGTCCTTGTCTTCCGTGTGCAGTGAGTCACTACACTTGCCCAGCACTGGGTATGGCTCTGCCTTTTCTGAATCCACTGGGTTTGTGCTGAAGCCAAGCGGGTGCCTGCCATGCAGGAAGCGGGAGATGATACCAGCACCTGCAGCCCATCCTTTGGAAGGGCAGATCCAAAGCAAGTGACAGCCCATGGTGAGCCCCCAGGACCAAGCAGCATGCCCATCACAGAGTACCGGGGACACACGTCTCCAGAAGAGATTTTTAAACTCCATCTGAAACCTGCTGGCACTGATGTGGCTGGGAGTTTCACTGGAGAGCAGGCTAAGTCTGTGACACCAGAAGCCCTGCAGCTCTGCCCAGATGTTCACACCCCAGACCAGAGGACACTGGTATGTCTGGAGATGCTTCCAGGGACATTCTGCCCACTGCTTTTCACCTTGGAAGTGGGCGCGGAGTTGGTAAGTCAACCTTACCCTCTCCTCCTTCCCTGCAGAGTACCTCAAGGAGAAGCTGGACAAATACATGTCACGGTTCCCAAAAGTGAAGATTCTCCATCTCAGGGAGAGGCATGGTCTAATACGGGCCAGACTGGCAGGAGCGGAGATCGCCAAAGGTAGGATGAAAGCCATTTTACAGTCATGGCTGGAACCCCCACAGGTGCCAATAAGCCATCTCCAGCACCAAGTTTTAGTCGTCTCCCAGTGAGCTAGTGGCATCTCTTTGGCTTGTAAAGTACAAGGGTCTGACAAGTGGTCTTGTCCAGCACCTCAGCACAGCCCTAGGAAGCCACAGTTGGGATCTCCAGCCCTGCCTCCACTGCCTTCCGAGGCCAGGCTGTGTTGGCACTGTAACAGTCATTTCTGCTGGGAGCCATCCCACTTCACTCTGCTGACCATGCTGAGCAGCAGAAATGTGCTCTGGGCTATGGCTGGGAGGGTTTCTGGGAGCCATGGCTCCATCATGACACCATCGTCACTACCGTGAGCCTGCAGGATGTGCAGCTGTCATGGGATGGGAACAGGGAAGGGGCATCCGGGGCCTGATCCTACCCTGGCCTCTGCCACAGGTGCCATCCTGACATTCCTGGACTCACATGTGGAGTGCAATGTAGGGTGGCTAGAACCACTGCTGGAGAGGGTCCGTCTGAGCCGGACCAAGGTTGCCTGCCCTGTCATTGAGGTCATCAGCGACAAGGACATGAGGTAAGGTGGCTTGTGGCCTTGGGATACCTAAAATCCATGCTAGTGGTTTGAATGAAACCTCTTACTGGGACCACCAACATACTAATTACAGGAAGATGCATGTCCAGACCTCCTAACTGGCCTTCAGTAGCATCTCACAAGGGATATGTCATGTTGCTGTATACCAGAATTTATGAACAGTGGACTTGGCCCCTTCATTTATCCCACACACCTTTTCCCTTTTTCATGACTTCTAGTACATGAAGAGGATTACTGATGAAATTTGTTAAAATCCTCTTTTAAATTATGTACAGATACTCATCTTCACTCATTAAGGGTGACATTTCAATCAGGAATGTGACTCAGAATTAGTCATCCCAATCTTTTCTCTGTTTAGTTACATGACCGTGGACAACTTTCAGCGTGGGGTTTTTACTTGGCCAATGAATTTTGGATGGAGGCAGATTCCACAAGAGGTCATCGAGAAAAATAAAATCAAGGAAACCGATATAATAAGGTAAAAAAAAAAGCAAATGTAAGAGCTTTGTGGTCCAACCTGTTCCTTTGTTAATAACGATAAAGGCTCCTTCAATGCCAAATGTTCTTCCTCTGCCTGCAAGGACAGCAGAGGCAATGGTTCACTGTGGGCAGTCACATCAGCAGACATGGGCAAAGCCCACCAAGCCTTTCTCATCTCATGTGGCACTGCTGGCATTTTGCCAGTGCCGCTGGGTGTGGGGGAATGCACCATTGCATTTTTCCCTTCCATGTCCCATTATGTTTTATAGGCTGGGTAAAGCCACCCAGATATCATAGAATCAGCAAAGTGACTGATTGGGTGGTCCTTGCTGTCTCTGTAAGTGTAGGCTCAGGTACTGTCCCCCAGCATTTAGTAGCCCACATCTCGATGGTTCCCTCATCAAGGCAAGGGGAAGGGGACAGGCACTCCTGACCAGCTGACACGCCGTGTGGCCTCTCTGTTCCCAGGTGCCCGGTCATGGCAGGTGGCCTGTTTTCCATCAATAGGAAGTACTTTTTTGAGCTAGGAATGTACGACCCAGGGCTGGATGTTTGGGGAGGTGAAAATATGGAGATTTCATTCAAGGTACGTCACTGTCAGATGCCTGCATCACTGCCAGCCTGGCTGGGGTGATGGGGCTCAGCCAGGGTCTCCCTGCGGACAGCCCATGCTGGAGACCCTGTCTCTCCTGGCAGTTTGCTTAGTTTTCTGCTTCTCTTCTGGCTTGCACAAAGCCAGCACACATATTTGCAAATGTTTCTATCAAAGCAACCTCTGTTTCTCAGGTTTGGATGTGCGGAGGAGAGATTGAGATTGTTCCATGCTCCAGAGTTGGGCACATTTTCAGGAACGACAATCCTTATTCCTTCCCAAAAGATCGGGTGAGAACAGTGGAGAGGAACTTGGCCCGCGTTGCAGAGGTCTGGCTGGACGAGTACAAAGAGTTATTCTATGGCCATGCTTACCATTTAGTCCTAAAAAACGTGGATGTTGGTGACCTGACTCAACAAATCCAACTGCGAAAGAAGCTTCACTGCAAAAGTTTCCGGTGGTACCTGGAGAACGTCTACCCAGACCTGGAAGCTCCCTTGGTTAAAGCCAGTGGTCTGGTATGTAGCCAGATGACTTGCTGCCCTTCCTTTAAACATGTTTTTGGTGGCTGGCTAGACACTCCTGGTACACCAAGTTGTTTCCCTGGCATTTGGTAACATTACTGAATATTTACTATGTCACGGTGGTCTAGATTCCCTAGTGTTTTTATAAAGAAATAGGTCACAATTCTAGGCAACAGTTTCCCTTTAAAGAGCCATTTGAGTGCTTCAAACCCCCAAATGAGCTGCCCGCGTGGCAGACACGGTCAGGGATGTGCTCCAGGGCGGGGCGCCAGCATCGTCCCTACCTACACAGCGTTTTAGCCACGCAGGAGAGGGAAGTGGCTTGTCCGGCAGCCCCGGGGCACCTGGGCAGTGTAGGCAGGGCCGGGTGCAGGCAGGGTTTGTACCGGTGCTCTGCTGCCAGCAGAGCGCAGCAGAAATCCACTTTTCCCCTGCGCTGCCTGCAGCTTGGGAGAGCCCGGCATCTCTGCAGCGCAGGACAAGCCTGTGCTTCGAGGGGGGGCTCAGTGGGCAGAAAACACCTGAAAGTCCATTTAGGATGAAGTCCTGCTTCCACAAGCCCCTTGCTGGCTGATAAATGTAAGTGAGTCAGGCTCCATTTCTCTGTCATCCCTCCATCTGTGCTTTGGGAGACTCCTGGTGCTCTCTGGCACTAAGTCCGTGTGCAGCTATTTATTTCTCAGGTGTTCAGTGTCATTTTACCAACATTAAAAAGTGAGTTAACCAAGAATAAAACGTGGCTTCTGAATTTGGCCCAGGCTTGAGCCTAAGCAGAATATTAACTGCTGCTTTGGACATTCAGAAACCTCAAATATTCTGCCCAGAAAAGGTACAACTTTGATTGCAAACTGCTTATAATGGCAATTACAAAAGTAAGATGCTTGGTTTGTCAGAAGAATTTCAGTGATTCCAGAAATGAAAGCTAAAGGGTTTTCTGCCTGTCCCAGCCATTGCTGTCTGCCAGTGCCATGGCAGGAGCAACACTTGCTGAGAGGAGGTGGCCATGAGCTGGTGACCACAAGTCTGGCACGGCTGGGACAGTGAGAACAAGAACGGCCTGTCCCCTCCGTCCCTGCCAAGCCGCACAGTTACTACACCAGCCCTTCTGGGAGCCAGGAAACAGCAAATCAACCATTCAGCTGTGTTTCAGGCTTGTTTGTGGGCCAAGGGCTTAATGTGAAGGTTCACAGTCACTGGGATCCCTAGGGATCAGGTCAGGCTCTCTGCCGGCTGCAGTCAGTGTGCTGCTTTAATGATCAAGCCATGAAGGCGTGAGAGAGTAGCTTTGCAGAGAGCATGAGGGGAGATACTGTGCTTCCTCTGGTGACCTCTCAGCTCTCACAGAAAAGCTGTAGGAAACTGCTGGTTTGGGGCACTTCAGCAGATTATGACCAGTGCATCCATTCGGACGCTTCCATCCATCTCGGTGTGACAGCAGCTGCAAGCGCAGGACCCGAGGGCTGTCTGCCTGGCTCCAAAACTTGTATGTCCAAAAGTCCGTGTCCTTGCATTTTTCAGAAAGCACTGTTTGCATTAGACTGAAGGATTCAGTGTAACATTGGCTTAAGTGACTTTTTTTAAGAAGAATTAGCAGTAATAGTCTGAGAACATCAACACCTCCCAAAACGTATTGAGAAATAGTCACTTTTTCAGCTCTTTTGTTTCAATCAGAGCAGTAAAACTTAATGTCAAATTCAGTGCAAAGCAGTTAGACCATGGATCACCTGAGCCAAAACCTCACTTTGTCAGATGTGTTTGTGAAAATTTTCAAGATGTTGCCTTGCTTTGTCCTGATTCAGGGCACCTGAATTGCTCTTTTATCTTCATTCTCAAAATTTAATAGGGCAGAAAATCCGTTTTTCAGCTAGCTCTGCAAATTCCAGCTGTGCTGAATACTGTCCAAAGTTACTTGAGAACTGTTTTCCAAATAGCCTATTTATTTATGGGGATTAATTCATAAGTTCTTCAGAAATTCTGAAAGTGAAGGAATGATGTTTGCAAGGACTTGGAGATGTGAGCAGCCCCGTCGGGTTATTTGAGGAGCTGGTGCTGGTGCCTGCAGACTGTAGCTGACCAAGTCTTCCACGGCCATGAGTCTCATGGTAGGCTTCAGCCCAGGAACTGGAGTGGGCTGGTAGAGCTCATTCCAGTGTTTTCAGCTTTCCCATATAACCTCCCGTACTCCTGAGCGACCTCGGAACAGGCCATATGAACAGCATGAGGAAAGTGCCCCTTTGCAGAGCTCTGTGCGGATGCTGGCACTAGGCAGGCAACGAGGTGCTGGCTCACCATGAGGGATGGCTGCAGGGAGAAAGAGCAAAGAGAAGCCAGGCAAGGGAGCAGAGCCTGATACTCCCTGGCAGCAAGCTGGGGGCTGAACACACACTCAGGGAAGCATCTGCTCTGCACTACCCAGCGTGCAGTGCTCACTCATCCTCTTTTACACCAGTGCAAGGTAACAGCAGTTCAGTTACAAACAGCTTAATGATGATGTTCCTGCCAGGGTTCCTGTTTTGAGGCACCACGTCTGCATTTCTCCATTGATGGTGGGTACCAAGGCAACCAACCTGGATGGAAAACAGGAAGACTTACCTTGGGGTGAGGCATCAAGCACATCACATACAGTGACGGAGTTGTTCCCTGGGGCCAGCTGTGGGGTCTGTGCCCCAGCTGGGAGGAGACCAGCTGGAGCAGGGATGGGACCACCAGGCACTTATGTCAGCTGTGGTACCAATGCAGGCACTTGTGTCACCCTGCTTCACAGGGTAGCAGTGGGAAGGGATTCTGCAGTTTTTACTGTTGGGAGCTGTTGTTTGGTGATTTGCATGACAGGAACATGAGGTATGTCCAGAAAAAACCCAGAAAAGAACATGTTTCATCCAGCCTTGAATGTTTCTGGTAAGGGCTAGTTTCAAGTTCTTCTTAGTAGAAAACATGTAATAGGCCAGATATGCATTTACACACCTCTCCAAGAACTATGACACATCATCTCTGCTTTGCTTAGTTAAGTGGACAGTATTAATCAGTGTCTCCAAATCCAGCAGGTTAACTGCAGTACAGCAGCCTCTCCTCTTTCTTGGGAATTCATGTCTGAATTCGCATTTTGTTCTACTTTCCAGCTTGTTAACAAAGCCATGGCAAGATGCATCACTGTGGAAAACATGACTTTAGCTTTTGAGGCATGTGATGTTAACAACAAGGTAAGGATACCCTGCATACTGAGTACGTAATACTATTTTTTGTGCATGGTGTAGAGATCCTGTACCTTTCTGTGGTGACCTGCCCCCCCCTGGGAGCTAAAGCACCATAGGGGACATGATCAGGTGATGCCTGCAGACAGCGAGGGGCAGGAATTCTCTGCAAAGCCTGTAGCCAGCCCACAACCCCAGAACCAGCAAACTCAATTGGAATAGGAAAGTTTGATAAAGCCATGAAGCTGCACATGAAAATAGGGAGAAACATTTAAATAAAAGCCTTTGCTTTCCGTGCTGCTGCAAAACATCCAGCTGTACTCTGTTGCTAGATGGGAAGCAGCTGCTGTGGGCAATCTTTCCCTTCCTCTATAGGTAGTGTTTCTTAAACAGGTCCCTGCTAATTGCTCTCTGCTCTGACACATGCTGGCATGAGGGTTGGGCCTGTCAGGTACAGGGGTTTATCTGTTTGCATTCCAGTGCTGGGGTGCAGCCAGGGCAGGTGGCAGGGCAGAGGAGCACACAACAGTCATCTTTGGGGTCAAGGCTGTTGTGCCAGGAGTCACTCCCAGAGCCTGCACCAGGGCTGTTCTGAGCTTTCTTGCTCTGCAGATCCATAGGAAAGGTCTCATCTCCTGGTCCTGGGTGAGGACAGGAGGAAGGCGAGGAGAGCATCTGCTGGGGAGCCTCTGCTGGTTGCCATCCCCAAGCAGCCAGCCCTGCTGATGGAAGGTGGGTGGACTCACAGCTCTCCCTGGTCTCTCCCCCCAGAACCAGAAGTTCAACTACACCTGGCTGAGGCTGATCCAGCATGGAGACCTCTGCATCACCCCGACTGGCACTGCGGGAGCACTGGGACTGCATCACTGTGAGGGCAGAAGCCGCAGCCTGGCGTGGCTGCACGGGTCACTGGCCACCTTCCAGCCAGAGCTGGTAAGTGCTGTGCTGGCGAGGGCAGCCCACACCATGGCCTGTGGCTCCTGGTTTGGGTTAGTGTGCTGGTGTGCAAACTGATGGACAGCTGCAGCACAGTGCAAGGTGCAGAGTAAGCCCTGGCTCTCTAGTCCTGGCTTTGCCAAAGTCTTCTCTTTTCACCTGGAGTTAGGTGTTGGTCCCCCAGCATCAGAGCCTTTCCTCGAGGGGATAGAGATGCACACCCTGCTGTTGGGTTGCATATCCAAGTGATTTGTGCTCTGACACTGGGTGCCTGGGGGCTGGGGAGACACTGGCCATGCAAGGAAGAAATGCTTTACTGTGAGAGTGGTGAGACATTGGAACAGGCTGCTCAATGAAGGTGTGAATGCTCCATCCCTGGAAGTGTTCAAGGCCAGGTCGGATGGGACCTTGAGCAACCTGGTCTAGTGGGAGGTGTCCTTGCCCATGGCTGAGGGTACTGGAAGTAGATGATCTTAAGGTAGTTTCCAACCCAAACCATTCTGCGATTTTATGATTCTGTGATTCACTCTGGCATGGCAATAACAAAACATCCCTCTTTTACATAGAAATCATTGATAGCACTTTCTTTGATATTACTTGATATTGATTGGTGTTCAGGTTACAGTGTCTTTTTAAAAGAAAGCATTTATGAAAAGGAAAAGAATGGATACTTACATTCATTGCCTGCACTTGCAAAAAAGCAAGTGAGTCAGGACTGAATCTCAGTCAGCCCGGTGTAAGCAGTTGTCAAAAATGCTATGAAATGGCATACTTTAGGAAAGAAATACTTTTAATTTAAAAAAGAAAAAAATGAAGCTAAATTATACACTCATCATATATTGCAAAGTTCCATTCCTTTTTAGTCTGAAAAACTAAAACTTTAAAAGCCAGAATGCTGCAGTGCCGAGGCTCACCTTGGGTGTTCTGTGAAAAATACGTGAAAATTGACACCTGCTTAGGAGTCCAGCCAGCAGTACCAGTGCCCAGGCACGTTTTGTCTTCTGTTTCAGCCCAAGCTCACCTTGAGCTGAGAGTTGGGTGTATTTGGTGGTCCTGGCCAGAGCAGGGGGCTGGGCATGGGCAGATGCTCCCAGCTGTGGCAGGCGATGGGTCTGGCCACTCAGTGGCACAGGCACCACCATGCTCCCCAGGACAGGCAGCCTCGGTCAGTGTGATTTCATCAGCCTTTACTGGTGCCAGCAGTAGGAAGTCTGAGGAGCAGCTCAGTGCCTGGTGATGCTGACTGAAGGAATTAGCATGATTTACCTTCTGATGTCACAGTCATTGTGTCTTATTAAAGATGTAAAGTGCATTTTCTATATGCACAAAGATCCAATTTTTTCCCAGACAACACTCTTATGTGTCATTTCAAGAGTATTTCATCTAGGTGTTAACCACTGATCGTAACACTGCAGTGCTAGGCAGTGACGTGGAAATGTCCTCAGCTTTGGCAGCACGCAAGTGCAAAGCATCGTCTTCCTGGCCATGTGGGTTAAGTAGATAAAGCCAAGCAGATGTGAAAAGCAAGAGGATGGAGATCACTCAGACTCTTCATTCTTTCATAGTCCAATTTACTGCTCCAGCATTTGAACTTAGCACTGAATTATCTGAATTATTGAAAAGCATCTTTTTCAATTCAGCAAATGTGCTTGGAGTTCACCAGCCAAGAAACTCCAAAATATGAAAATTAGTCTCCTACTGTATGTTCCCCTATATAGCACATACCATCTGGAGTGATTTCCTTTGCATGGTAATTACTGCTCGGACAGTGAGAGAACTAATCTTCCCCTTCCCAGTGAACGAAAATCACAGGAGGTGTGGTATGATCCTGGCTTGGCAACAGGCGCCAGCTTTGGCTCCCACACAGAAGTCCCTGTAAGTCAGCAAAGAGATCTTATGTATTAGGGAAATGTGAAAAAAGGGTACACCATCAAGAATCAAGGTTTCTCAGTGGAAAAATAGAGCTGCTGCCACATGAGTCCTAAAGCCTAAGCCTACCTAAAGCCCTCTGTCTCTCCCTTGCAGACAGACCACATCATTTCGGAACATCTCCAGCAGCCGGCTTGCTTGGAAGTGGATCCCTCTCACAAAGCCCTGAGGGTAAATGCCTGTAACTCTGCAAATCCTTATCAAAAGTGGCAGTTCGGCAATTACTATGCAGACTGAAGGGAACACAGTTGGACCAGAAACACTGTGTTTTCATCTTGCGAATTCAGCAAGGATATTTGTGTGGCTTGTGACAGCAATTACAAAACTGAAAGTTCATTTCCAAATGATAATTGAAATCTGTAATTTAAACCAGCATATTGAGAGATCAGAATACCAAGAGCAGCACATCTGGTTTAATGACGTCTGAAACAGACAGGTGGTTTTTTCCTTCACTGTGAGAGACTTTGGCAAAAACTCAAATAATTTTCTGTATTATTAAATGGAAATATTTTCTAAAGTCCCCCATCCTACTGTGAACAAACCTTCAGCAGTTCTCCCCAGACAACAGCATAAGCTACAGAAATACTTCTAGGGCTCAGTAGTCTGTAAACAGCAAACTGGGCTGCTTATTCTTCCACAGAAAATGGAAGTTTATTGACCAACACATTAAAAAAAAATCCATCTGACATGCCTGTGTGGGGTCTGGCTGTAGGATCCTGCCCTGTGGGACCCATTGCCTCCGACAGATGAGTATCAGAGTTCCATTAGGAATTGATGAATTGATTGCTTATTGAAAAAGCCTTCTTTTAATAATGGGGGCCACATGTGGGTCAATAAGCTGCCCAGCAGCTAAGGTAAACTGGGGGCTGTGGAAGAGGCAGGGGGCATGCCTTGCCTACAACCCACAGTGAAGATGTAGGTGTCCTGCTTTGCTTGGATGTGAGAGGAGCTGTCAGGGAGGCAAACCAGGGGTTTATCCTGCTTTTTGCCAGTGACACGCAGCAGAGGCCAGCTGTGCCTCCAAGCCCCAATGGCTCTTTAGCGGATCCCCCAGCACCACTGGACTTCATTTGGCCCCTGGCTGGCCAGGGCACTGGGTTGCACTGGTGCCTGTGCCAAAGTCTGGTGACACTCGGTGCAGCCCCAAGCAATGTGGCTTACCCTGCTCCTGCCAGGGCCATCCCCAGGGAAGCTTTACCTGCCAGCAGCATGGGCCGGGCAGCTCTCCCCATTGTGGCGTCCTCCCACTGTGGTGGAGGGAGGGCAGAGACCTCTGGCAGGACATCTCACAACCCAAAACTTCTACCCGCAGGCTCTTGGGATGGAGGAACTCAGTGAGGGCTTTTATTCAAAAAGGGCTGCAGAACACAAGTGTGTGCACAGGCACGTGCATGCGTGTACACGCATTTCAGAGGGACCACTGCAGAGGTTAAGACAGTGGGATGAGCTGCTGCACAGCCTGAGCTGCACAGGATGGCCAGGGTCTGCACACCAAAAGTCCCTCTGAACTTACTGTCATGGGCAATTTTTTTTCTTCCTGTGAAACTTTTTATCTCCAAAAGGCATTGCCAGTTTTTGAAGGGACAGGCTTGGTAGGAGACTAAATTCTGCTGTGATAGGACAGTGAAATCTAGGATGTGTAACACCAGGCTGGATTTCTTCCCCATTTCCATTAGGAAGTTCCTGCTGTGGGAGGCTGCTCCCTGTACAGATGTGGTGTTGCTGGAAACAGTCATGCTTCTCCTCCTGCCTTGCTGCCCTGCACTGGGCTGGGGCGAGGAGCACAAGCCACTGAGCTTGGTTCTTATGCCACTGTTGACCACAGCTGTGGCTCCACCTGAATTCACAAAACTCCTTGTACCTCTCCTTTGATTTTTCATGTTACCTCTCACATGGTGGATCAATGCTGACAGCATCTGACAGGCTGAGTCTGCCAAAATGTTGACTGGCCCAACAGATTTTCCCTGTTGGCTCCTATTCCAACTGTCTTCCTGATTTTCTCTCCCTCCTTTAGTGCAGCTAGCCTGCAGTCACCATCAGAAAAATGACACAGATGTTGTTTGTGCAGTCATCTTTTATCAGAAGCATGAATTTCATCAAATTCTGTTTGCTGACATTCAATCACTTGTCACCAAGTAGGCACCAAATGGTCATATGTCATGGTCACATCCCATTGCCAGGCTTGTCACTTACATTCTGATGCCCTGTTTGTGTAAATGCTCACTTCCATGTTGGTATCTTTTGCTTAAAGACCAGAGCGTGCCTTCGGGGCTGCTGGCAGTGAGCAGTGGCCCTGCTGCTGTACAATATTGAGAAGCGTTCAGATTGCACCAGTCAGCCTAGTCTTCCAGAAACTAGAGCATTTTTTCCAGCACACTCAGCAGAGTGGCAACAGGAGTCTCCTTCTACCCAGTGAGCTGCCCGCTCCTTTTACCATCTCCACTGATGGCACCTGGGTATGCATCGCACCTTGGGGGGCATGGAGAGGCTTTGGGAGCATGGAGGGAAGAGGAAGGTACCACGGGTGGGAAGGACCACCACTCATGCTGGGGACAGGTGCTGCCATCCTCCCCCATGTCAGCAACGGGAAACAGACACAGCTTTTCTGAACAAGAACAAATGCTGTGGCAGAGAGGGAGACAGCACATCATGCTGTGCTTCCATCAGTAAGTACCCTGAAACAAAGTGGCATGGTCGGAGGCCCCATTTGGTTTGTTAAAAAAAAGATTATAAAAGGGAATAAATAATAAGAGATGAAGTATCTTCCTCTGAGCCCTGTGTGTTAGCTCTGTTTCTGACCAACTTGGACCTTTTCTAGGGGCTCTCCTGCCAGGTCAAACCACAAAACATTACCCTGGGAAGAACCATTATACCACCACTTTCCCTGATTCATGGCTGTGCTTTAGGTTCCCATTTAGTGTGCTGTTAGCGCAGGCAGGGCGCTAGCCCCAGCGGCTGGAGATGGGGGGGGAACGCTTCGCCCCGGGGGCTGCAGATGGTGTGGCAACTGGCAAGTTCCTGCCTCATCTGACCCACTGGCCAGAGTTTTGGCCAGCTGCAGACCCTGCCCTGTCCTGCCACGTCTGATCGTGGCATCTCAGCCCAGCAGTGCCCCAGCACAGGCGACAATGCTGCAGCGCAGAGCATGAGCACACCATGGGAGGGTGCAAGCCAAGGTGTCTGCCTGTTTATTGCCTGTACATCCTTTGATCAACATACTGCACTCACCCACCCTGAGGGTTAGGTGAGAGGGGGAGCGTTTGCAGGAGAGGCCTTCAGGCCCCTAAAGCATCCCAGGACTCAAGCTACCAAACAAAGCAAAAGAAGGAGTTGCAGTTCTTAGCTGATCAGATGCAGCTTTCCGAGGTACACTAGTCCAAGTTGCTTGATAGTCTCAGCGAGACCCCACACTTTGCTGGAACCCACAGTCAGTACACCAAGCATCTCATCCGTGTGCTTGCCCAAAATGTCTGGAAACTGTTTTTAACTGTCACCTAAGGTATAAGCCAGACATTAAAAACTGTTACAGACAGATGTGTGATAAAAGGAAAAAAATACCCACCTGTTGCTAAAGTGAGCAGGGTGCTCAGCCAGCCTGTGCAGCGGTGTGAGGGAGCAGGAGAGCGTCCAGCTCAGCCAGACAATTCTCTGGAGGAGATGGGAATTGTGACAGCAAAGTCCCAGGCGATGAAATGCTACTACCGCTCTCCTCACCCAGGTTTGTGTGGGGAAGTATTTGAACTCTGTCTTTCCATGCCACTGGGTGTCTGCCTGTTCTCAGGCTTTCCCTCGCTCGGCCCCAGTGCTCATCTCTCCACCTTGCTTGAAGAGTACCTGCTACAGCAGTCGTGCCTTTTGCTGCGATACAGATGGCTTTTCCTGGTGTCCCACACTGCTGAAAGCCAGCTGGGTCATCAGCACGAGCCAGTGGCTCAGATCCCACACATGCAGCCTTACCAGCTTTTCCAGAGCAAATTGCAAGTGCCTGCGTGTGCTGTTGACCCTCATGGGCATGGGTTGATACTGCCTGTCAGCTCCTGGCCTTGCCACAATATCATCCCTGTAAAACACCAGCTTTTCAGCAATGCACAAAGGTGTGCACTTTAGCTCTGATTTTTATTTTGCTACGGGGTTTTGTTGTTTTCTTCCCTGTTGCACTTGTTAATCGCAGTAAAGCAAATTTGTCACTGACATTCCGAAGTGCAAATCAGGCTGGATGGCATGGCGGGGAGGTAGTGGTACCTAGCCCCACCTCAGGCACTGTGCCAGGACTTCAAGCTGAGGTTGGCGAGCTCAGAGCAGCACTTTGCCACACACAGCCTCAGCAAGTCCCCAACAGCCCGAGCAATGGCCACATCTTTAGGAAAATGTGTCTCTCTTAGAGGACCCGCTGCAAGAGGAGCGACGGGGGGCAGCTGTCAGCAGGCAAACAAACCCACAGTATAAGTTCATACAAGCAAACCTCTGAACTTCCACAAACCAAAGAGCAAATAAACAAGTCTGAATAGCACAATGAGGGCTGTGTCTGCTTTGTACAATACAGAATTGCCGTTTATTATTTTCACGTTGCCAATAAATAATTGCTTCTATGTAGCACAAGAAAAGTCAAAACGATATTCAGTGCTGCTGGAGACATAAAACTAATCCTTACAAAAGCACGGCTGAAGGAGGCCACTGCAGCTGAAGCCAGTGTCTAACTTCATTCTTCCCTCCTCTCCCTTTGACAGTTCCTCTCAACTTTCCCAGATGTTTTCTGGGATGACATTTGCAAAGCTTAGTCCCAACTCAAGACAAATCTGTCTGTAAAACAGTTAAAAAAGACTGCATCAATGACACCGTAGTTACACCAAGAATTTTAAAAAAGGAAAAATGTTGTGTTCGGATGACACAAAAACAATGAGTGCATAAAATTTGCATGGCTTTGACAAAAAAAAATCTAAAATTTTGCATCTAAACTTAGCGTGTAATCAAGAAGACATGTAAGAGAGGCTTAAACTGGTGGCATTGGGAAAGGACAGGTTTCTGGCAGCAGTTGGTTTTGCCAGGTGAAGCACGCACAGGCATGTGCCGTGCCCTGCATACACAGTGTGCAAGCTGCTGCCCTCCATGGTGTCCCGAAGCCCAGCCATGCTACTGTGGATGGCATCAGCCTCTGGTACCACCTCCCCAAAGGCACCTCTGCCCCAGGCTGGTGGGGTCAGGCACCGCGGCTGGACGCCACTCACAGAGTCCATGGT